TTTTTTTTTTTTTTGCCGCACAGCAAAAAAAAAAAGACAAGAGAAAAACAAGTCCGCAGCAGCGACAGCTAGCCAGCCAGCAGAGCCACGCACGTCATGGAGGCCGCAACGCACGAGATCCGCACTGAGCGCTTCGAGGTGGACCAGTACGTGCGCGTGCTGCTGTCGAACGGCCGCTCCGAGATCGGTGTCGTTGTGTCCATCGATGAGCCGAACGAGACGGCTGTTATCGCGACGCGCCACGGTTACGACATCACCGTGCGCCTCCGCAGCGTACGCCGTGCGTTCCTGGTGGTGCTCGACCTCAATGGTGTCCTCGTCGCGCGTGGGCGCGGGAGTTTCATCGACCGTCCGGGCGTCATGGAGTTCGTGAGCTTCGTGATGAATAACTTCGTTGTGGCGGTGTGGACAAGCGGGCTTGAGCGCACATCCAATCCCATCATCGAGAAGGTGTTCGACAACTACCAGGACAGGCTGTTGTTCAAACTCTACCGCGATGCCTGCACGATGCGGCCGACGCCGGACAAGCCGTACCGCACAATTAAGAATCTTCAGCGCATCTTTGACGCATACCCGAAGAGTTTTCACGCCGTCAACACCATCATCGTCGACGACTCGCCAGACAAGTGCTCTCACCCCGACATCGCCCTCTGCCCTGTGCCCTTTGTAGACCCGGAGAAGCAGATCGACGATGACGGCCTTGCGATGGCGACGGAGGTGCTGAAGGAGGTGCTCCGCAGCGAGTCGCACGCACCACTCATCCGCGCAAGTGAAGAGCGTCTAGTGGCGCTCGCGGCAAAGGAGAAGCGGGATAGGCTGGAAGAGCAGAAGCAACATGAAGAGGCTAAAAAAGAGGTCCCACTCGCCGCTACCGCTGCCAGCAGCAGCAACAACAACAGCGACAGTAATGATAACAACGGCACAACGGTTGGTGGTGGTGCTGTGACCCCGGACAATGAGAAGGATTCTTCGATGAAGCATGAAGCCGCAAAGATATCGGAGCTTCCAGAGACATTTCTATGGGCGACGCGGTTGTGCTGCGATTATATTAGCGGTTCCTGCACACGCAAAGATTGCCGCTTCAGCCACGACGCCGACGACGGAGAGCGGCCCTGTTCAAGAAAGGGTTTCTGCCGCCGTGGCCACGCTCGCCGGTGGATCGACGATCTACACTCCAAATCAGGGACTTCCACATCGGCGGCTCCTAAAGGCACTAACGCGTCCACCGCATTCGACGTGTCAAATATAGTTTTGCTTTTCTCCACAAACCCGGACCAGCAAAAGCGGCACCAGCAACGACAGCACGGTGGAGGGCGTAACGACAACGCGCAGTACAAGCAACAGCAACAACAACAACGACAGCAGCAGCAGCAGCATAGCCGGCAGCCCCAGTCTCGACAGCAACAGGAGCGTGGGCAGAAAAATACAAAAGGCGACGGCGGCGGTGGCGGAAGCAGCAACAACCAACGAGAACAAAAGGCTGTTTCTCCTGGAAAAGGCTCTGATCACGGGTCTTCTAGGACACTGCAATTGCCGTGGTCCCAGCAGGGGCCATTGCTCAGCACACCTGCACCCCCCTCTGCCGCGCAGGGAGCAGCACAGATGCGATTTACGGGTGATAGCCACGACGGTGGGGCCCTTCTTCGCCACCTGCAGGCAAGTCTCCTGGGCGGAATGGCTGCCGGTGGGGAGGAGAACGCAAATAGCAGGTCAAACAAGAGGAAACAAAGGCAGTATTAAAAGGTGTTCCTTACCCCCAAGCTTTATCGCTCTCACTATCACCGCCACATACAAACACACACACACACAGAGAAACGCAATGCGTTTACACTCCTGTCTTTCTTTCTTTCTTTAACTCACTAACTCGCTTACGCCTAGCTTTCAGGGGCGGTGTTCTGCGGTAAATTGTATGGCACAAGAAGAAACGAAATGTCTACATGGTCTCACTTGGTGGGACTGAATTTCACATGTGTTTTTTTGTCTGTGTGAAAGTTTTAGGGGACGATGGATTTCCCTTTTTGGGCTTTCTTTTCATGTTGCTATTTGGTGTGCATGAGGCGAATCAAGGGTGAGAGTCTTCCTGTTACGTGGTGTGTGCCTTTTTTTTGAAAGGCCTGTATATGTCTCTCTCTATCTATCTATCTATCTCTCTCTGTGTGTGTTTGGGTGTATGCATTGGATTTTCCCGCCCCAACTCGCTCTCAATGAGGGCCTGGTTTTTTTTCGCATGTGTGTGTGTGTGTGTGCCTGTGCTGATTTTGCGTTTATTTGCGGAGGTGGGCGTGAGATTGAATTGCCAACCTTGCTGATGGAGCAGAGACGTGCTCCTATTGAAGGTGTGGTGTGACGCTTCATCAACCGCACGATATCTTGCCCCATGCGTGCATTGAAGTATATATATATATATATATGCTTGTGTCTGGGAGAGAAAGAGAGAGTTGTTGTGCCAAACGACGTGTCCTCCGTCTTTGTTTGCTTCGTGGTGACGGCGTTGGCAGGAGGAGGGAGCGGTTGTGGTGGTCTTCGGCTCGTATGTATGCATCAATGTCCACCTTGCGTGACGTGCGCGCAGGGTGTGTCATGCTGTATGTCTCTGGATGTTTGGATGCTTCCTGATTTTTTCTTTTAAAAAAGAAACGAGAAAACAAAAAGAAAATCATTTAAAAAAGAAAAGAAAACAATGAGAATGCTGAGGGGGGAAATTTTTTAATGAAAGAAAACCGAATATATCTATATATATAGTATTGTGTGTGTGTGAGTGGGTCGTTAAGCACTGGGGAAGGCTGGGGTGGTAATGCGGGGGATGTGGAGAAAAACGAGTGAAGTATGAAGGTTTGTTAATGCATGGATGTGAAACGTCCCTATGGTGCCGGTACGCCTGGTGTGGGTGCCTTCATTTCATGATTTTGTTTGCTTGTTGTGTATCTCGCAGCGCAGCTGCTTTGCGTCTATATAGTGTGGGACGGGTAGAATGGATGAGGAGGGTGCGACTCTTCTGCTGGTTGCCAAATACAAGAAGTCGCGCCAGGGGACATGACAACCAGCGCCAGCACCAGGATTGACTGTGCCATGTGTGGCTATTCCTGGAGAAATGTGAGAACGCCCGCTGTAAAGGCGTGTACATGGCGTAATATCAAAAAGGCTTTTCCGCCGCTGACTGGGGGGTGCGCAGAGGCGTCGAGTGGCCTACCGGTCTCTGAGCACGGCGGGGTGCCTTAAGAGGTGTATCTCTGCAGCTTCCACGAGGGGCCATTTTTGCGGGGGAGGCGGCGTGCGCAGTCTTCTCGCCCGTCGATCGGTACAAGGCGTTCAGGGTGTTGGTGAGGGGCTCAGTGTGAGCGGTTTGCATGACTGCAGGCAGAGGTATGGGGAGAGTTGTTTTGCTTGTGGGAAACACACACTAAATGTGCCTCTAATAGGTTTCTGTGCTCGGCTGGTTTCTTTCTTTCTTTCTTTCGTTAGTTCTTGTTTTGCACAAGCGATACCTTCACTCACAACACACGAAATACCTTTCTTGTTGGTAAAAGTTATAGCAGTGAATTACCGAACAAAGAAGAAAACAACGAACGCACGACGACGGGAGCAAAAAAGAGATGTTATGTTTTCTCCAATTGATTGCTTTTCTTCTTTGTGCGTGCGTAACGCAGGCTGTGCTAGTGCCATTCCCTCCCAGTTTCTATGTCACCATCGGCACAACAATTCCGTTTCCCTCATACACGCCAGTGGCGCAGAGTGGTGTCATCTACGTCTCTAACCAGACGAAGCAGTTACGCATTGACAACTTCTTTCTCGGCAGCCAGTACTCCTTTGTTGCCGACGGTGTGCGACAGCGCGGGTACGTACTTGAGAATCACGCCCCTGGAAGCTTGAGTGCGGGTCGTGAGGGGAAGGGTGGTTTCTGTCGCACCTTTGCCATGGCTGGCGACGTGTCGAAGTTTGGCGTGCCAGATGAATTCCTGCGTCACGCGGAGCCGACGCTAGTGCGCGGGGTCGAAGTTCTACGCTACACCGGGTACGACCGCGACAGCACAGGGCCACTGCAGCAGGTGGACTACTATGTCCGAAACATCAGCTTCCGTCTTCCGACTGAGGTGAAGGGGGCACTACAGGAGGTCGTTTTCACTATCCCCTGGCGCGTGCAGACGCGGCGGCGGCAGCAGGAAGTTAAGGAGCTCACGGGTGCACCCTCAACTGTACCGAACTGGCGCTACTTTGGTGGATCCTTCTTTGACGAAGTGGCGATGCCGGGGGAGCCCTTCACCACGGCTCTCCAGCGTCTCATGGAAGACACGGTGGTTACGGTGGATTTTTACAATTTTGTCCCCATCGCGCCAGATCCATCTGTATTCACGGTGCCATCCGACTGCGAAGAGGCCGATGCGGAGACAATGACCAGTGACGTGGATATCTCCCTCGCTCAGCGGCTTCTGGTAGACTTGAGTTTTTACACCACAGCGGGGCGTCAGGTGCTTCAGGAGAACTTGGAGTCCTAATGAGGCCCCTATTGCTCAGTGTTTTATTGCCGCTATGGAGTCGGTTCAATGCCATCTTTCTGAGCTCCTCATGCGAAGTGGGATTGGCTACGCAGACATGCGGGGATCACATGAATCATCTGGTGGTGTAACGTGATGTGTTAAGTTCTTTTGCTTCGTGTTTATCTCTGACGTGGCATTAGCGGATCGAAGAAAGGAAGGATAGGATCATTCAGAGCCAACAGATTGTAAATTCTTCTTCAAGATAGATTGATGCCCATCTACAATATTATTGCGAGAAAGTTAAAGCCTTCAGAGTTTATCGTGCAAAAGGTCGATGAGGGCAAGTCGCTGCGCTCAGTCCTCCCGTTTATTTCAAGGAAACTTGGCATACCATCCATGAAGAATTACGTAGCGTTTTCTTGTGATAAAAGCAGGCGGCCGGTTGCCCGGCTGGACATGGATATTCCGCTGGAGGAACAAGAAGTGCTGCCCTTGTCGTACATCTATATTTCCCCTATTGACGCCACACCAAAGGGTCCGGACGGTGAGGAACTCCCTCTGGTATCAGAATTGAAACGGGATCACAACAGAGATGGAGAGGATGACGTGCCACCACCTCCGCCTTCTGAGGATGAGACGCCACGAGTAGCCGTTGAAGATGCCGACGGAGGTGCTGAACAGGAGGCCAAGATGCGTGCTGAACACGAGGCCTGTATGCGTGCTGAACACGAGGCCAAGATGCGTGCTGAACACGAGGCCAAGATGCGTGCTGAACAAGAGGAGGCCCGTATGCGTGCTGAACAGGAGGAGGCCCGTATGCGCGTCGACGTCAGCACAGTGCACGTATCTGATCTCTCTCACGCGCGCGCCACACCTCCACCGAGAAGCGCAATGAATGGCTTTGGGCGAGGTTCGCTCAGTGGCGTCCAGGCCAACGGACACCGTCATCCCGACTTCTCCCTGTCGACGACGACAGAGCACCGCGTGCAGCTAAACTTGGTCCCAGACGTTGTCGATACGGCGGTGGTGCAGAGCGACTCCCGCAGTACTGGGCCTCGCGCCCCAGGTGAGGTGGCCCGCTTGCTCGCCGCCGTCGCCGAGGATGTCCCAGTGCATCATGCGGTGCTGCTGCGCATGGCTGATTTAGTGGTGAGTGAACACCCTAAAAGACCTCAACTGCATCTGTGGTCTCACCTGCAAAGCAAGCTCGGGGGTACCCCCCACACCACCTCGCAACTCGACAAAAGTGAGGTCCGTCGCCGCCCTTCATGCTCCTCTCTCACCTTTGCGCCGGTTGGCGACAACACTGAGGAACGTCTCTCTTCAGGGGCGCCGGCGGGTCCCGCGAGGGCAGTGGTGCGGCACTGGGTAAGGCTGCTTCTCGATGCAAAGCCAGACAATCCCTTGCTGTTCATGTGGTCAAAACTCGAGGCAAAGGGGGGAAAAGATGCCATCTGTTTGGGTGCATCGTCGTCAGTGCACGCGCTGGCGCCTGAGGACCCCACGAAGGTGGCAGTGCTACACGACATTCCGCGTAGCAGTCCTGCCTACACAGTGCTGCTCGGCCTCGTAGACCTCATTTTCGAAAAGAAGCCAGACGCGCCCGAGATGTGGATGTGGTATCACCTCGTGGGACGGAGCAAGTCCGGTGGGTCCGCCTCCGGTCGCTCCTCGGCAATTTCGCTTCGGCCGTTCTGTGAGGAAGCAACAGGAGATCAGAGCTGTGCCTCTGATGATGAGGTCAATGACTGCGATGCGCCACTCTTAATGGCGGCGATTCAGTCTCAGCTGAAGGGCCGCGCTTTCCTGCCTTGTCGGGAGGGCAACGCAAAGCCGCGGACAAAAGATGTGTCAACGCAGACGTCTGGCGTGCGCCCTGTGGAAAAAGTAACGAGCCCGGCTCCGTTGGTCGTCGTACCACTTGCAAAGAGTTCATTGCCGGTTCGGGCTACAAACTTTCTCCTTGACCGCTCGCCACGTGAACTCTTGCAGCCACCACACTTTGATATGACGTTGCTTCGATGCCGCCGCCATTCATTTAACGTCATTGCCGAGTGTGAGTTAACACCGTCTCTGGCGTCCCCGCTCCGCCGCAACAGGTGCCATGCACTCTCAGACTCAGTACCGTACGGTTGCAGCTGCGTGGCGCGTCGGGGCCGCTCCTGTTGCTACCACGATCGCCCCTCAATGCAGAATGACGGGGGTCTGTCCGAACGCAGAGCACAGAGTTATGAATTGTGTGGCAGACACAGCGGGCAGCGCGATGACCCTATCCCAATCCCACCAAGTGATTTTTTTCCAGCGGTGCCATCTCGCCGGTTAAATAGTGAACCGACTGATTTTAGGTATGATGCACGTCAAAAAGAGGCTGAGCGCGCGGAGCTGATGTACGAGTACAACTGGTTTCTGCAACGTGAGGCGGTGCGGAACGAGCAGCTGCAGAAGGAGGTGGCGCTCCTTCGCCGTGAGAGGGAGTTCCGCGACCGAAGGGCGCCCTACGGCCCCTCAACGACCACGGCGTTGACTGCAGAGGCCTCGGCCTGCGGTCACCCCGAGGTGGAGACCCCCCTTGCGGATCCCAAGCTGTTGCAGGGCTCGCCACAACCACCAACGGAGCTGGACGTCATGCGCAAGCGGTTGGAGCTGCTGAACATGGAGGCAGCGCGCTCCCGTTATTTGTCACAATCGTCGCGGAGCCCCAACGCGGGGAAGCGCGCAGAGGAGGCGGCGTCGCCGCACGCGACGTGCGGCAGTCCTTCGTTGAGGCCTGGTAGCGAGTACGTCGGCGTCTCGCCCCATTTTACCCCCGTGAGGCGTGCGGCCTCTCAGGGGCGGAACTGATAGTGGTGGTGGCGAACGCGTGCACACCAAAAAAAAAA